ATCGCAGTCGCAATTTTCGTCGCTATTTTAAAATCGCTGCGATTGAATCGCAGTGTGCGATTTGTTGTTCATCTCTACTTAATCGAATAGATGTAAGTATAAAGGTTTGAAATGATAAATATTTATCTTTATTTGATTCGATCGAAAAAAATTGGCTGGAAAATGACGTAAATGTCATCGATTATCATTTCAAACCAATTTATCGCTGTGTTTTCGATTATATATACATTAATAATTAAAAAATACAATTTAAGTTGAAATCTGGGTAGTTGTAAATAGTGATGAAGGAGACTGCTCTTGATTTTGCACAAAAAAAGACCAAGATCAAGACTGACCGGTGCAAAACTTCCCCAAGACCAAGACCAAGTCCAATAAGCATGCAGTACTTTTGGGATTTTGATGCGATTTTATAGTCATACCTGTTTTTATATTTATGTGATTATAAGAAATTACACGCTTCTTCAAAATTATTATTTTGTTACTCTTAATATTAAGCAAGCAATAATTAATAAAATTATTACATCTGCAAAATGATTGCTTTATTAGTTTATTACAAATAGTTTTTTTCGCGGCTATTGCGTAAAATTTTAAAGAAAGAAATATTGATTCAATATAATATATTGAAAAATTATTTTTTTGTCAGACAATACGTCGTCTAATTTCGGGTTTTCTACAGTCATGAATTAAGCATAAAAACGAAACTTGTAGTGTGCCCAGCAATAGTACTACTAGCGTTCATGTGCCGTACAGCCGGTACCTATACGCATTAAACGTATTGCAACATAGACAACACAGACAACTGTTAAGAATCAAATGGTATTACCATGTCTCAAACGTATCGGTCCTTGAAAAAGATAGCTGCCCGGGCACTGAAGTCATGATTACTAAATCCCGATTGAGATCGGATCTCTTTTTAACGTTGAGCTTGTAGACGGTAAGAGGAAACTGGGTGTACAACTCAAAAGGAAGGTACAAGGATGCTTTCCACGAAAACTTAAAGAGGATGAGCATGCAGAATCAGTGGGAGGAAGCAGCGCACAATAGAACACAATGAAGAAGAATAATTGTAAACTCAATTAACAAAGACAACCAAATAGTAAAGAAACAACAAAGTTGAACAAGAGAGATAACATCACGTATCGGGGTTTTCAGTCTCAGAAAAGCTTATGAAAGGAATCGCCTTGCGTAACCATCTTCTGATGGGTGTCAAAAACTCATCAGCGAGTAACAGCGGTAAGTAAGTAAGTAATAATATGTTTCATTTAAGTTTTTTTTCCATTAAATTACTAAAAACACTATTTATTTATTTCTAAATGTTCTACTAAGATTTTCTATGTAGGTAGTACCGTATGATTGAAAAACAAACGGCGTCTAGTTGGCTTGGAAATATAGCTGGGCTTAGAGTTATATGTCAAAGCAGTGATGAGGTGAAAAAACACCAACGAAGAGGTACACCTATCAAAAATGGCAAGAGGAGTGGTATGCATCCGACAAGGGAAGGTGAACTAGAAAGTTAATACACAACGTGGAGGACTGGACGAGTAGGAAACACGGAGACGTGAACTATTACATTACACGTTCTTTCCGGACATGGAGTCTTCATGGACTTCTTGCACAGAATAAAGAAAATACCAAATGTCAACTGCATGTACTGCGACGAAGTCGACGATGCCGAGCATACGTTATTCTGCTGTCCAAGATGGGAAAACGGAAGGTCTGCCTTATTGTCGGATGTAGGATGTTAACTTCGGACACCTTGATTGTGAAAATGACCAAAACTAGCAAGAAATGTGGAAGTATCCTAAAAATAAATAGGATAGAATATAGAGAATAAAAGTGGGGGGTGAAGTGGGTAACAATTCGCCTCCCACACTGTTTGGAGTTCGTCTCTATGATCGTCTTTCTCGAAATGCTGATGGGAACGAACACCACTCTTATAAGCCAGAGATGTTCGTGGTATTCGTAGAGAAGGTTTTTTTACCAGCCCCTCACAAAAAAAAGTTGGCTTGGAAATGACGATCGGTGAGATTCCCCATATAATTTTACATAAAAAATTACAGCGATGTTCATTTCATGGCCATCGCTGACGCCGTTTTTTTTTATATGGTACCTCTTTACCTCTATTAGAATTGATATTCTATTAAAATTATGGAAGACTTATAAGAGTCTTGCAGCAAGACGAAGACAAAGACCAAGACTACTTGTTGTCTGCAAGCCCAAATCCAAAGAAGTCTTGGTCTTGCATTTGCTCATCACTAATTATAACAGAGAATTACACCAAGGTATCGAGGTTGAATACACCAAAAGGCTTATTTCTTTTTCTGAAACCCAGTTTCAAGACGCGACTATAAATACGGGCCTTAGACATGCGTTAGTCACTCGTCAAGTCGATAGGCCATTGACAATGAGGCCGAAGACCGCGGTTTAGATTGCGAGTAAACAAAGTAGGCCCCGTCCAGATTAACGTAAGTAGAGTAAAGAGTCCAGAGTAATTTCTGTGTAAGATTACTACGTCCAACTGTAATTAAAAATGTTGCTAGGCACCACTGCGTTTTTAAGTATGTAGAGTGTATTAATTAATATTCTTTTTGTGTTTGTCGTTTCGTTGGAAAACCAACCTCTAGGCAGCCAATCTGATGAAGGTTAGGCTCAGAAACCGGTCGTGGGGAGTAAGAGTTTGTTCCCCCTTTAACGGTAAACATAACATTTTTTCTTTTTTCGATTTTCGAAAATTGAAAAATATAGCAGCTCAAGGTAATAATTTTGTATTTAGTAAGTAGTTCTAATTTTGTTTTATTGCAGTTATTAAAACTTTCTTTATTAGGCATTTAAACTTTTCTTATATTATAAGATTAAGATATTATAAGAGTGGTAACTTTTCAGATAATGACTTTTTTATATACATATACAGGGTGGTCCGAATTGTATTCCGGAAACTTCGGCAGTAGGTATATTCCTCGGTATATTCTGCAGATAAAAATAGGTAAATCATTCGTATAAATGTATATCCTAAAATGCCTAGTTTCGGAGATACAGGGTGTAGAAATTTCATTTTCATTTCGATTTTTTCCAAATAATATCTGTAGTAACATCAATATTTAGATGAAAATTAGTGTCTGGGAGTTTTTTGACATGAGAAATTTGATTTTGATGTCAATATGACTCCTACTGGTAGAGGTAGCCACCTACATGTGTTTTAACTGTTTTGAAGCGTAATAACTTTTTGTCCGTACCTGTATAAAACTACCGAGGGAAAAAGTATACATTTCTGTGATTTTTCCGTAAAAAATATCTCTTTGTAAAAATGGCTACGAGCAACCGTTCTCAAGATATTTAGAATGGAAATAGTCAATACATGCCATTATTGACGAAGAATAAACACGTTGAGTATAGGTAGTTATTTCACTGAAATAATAAATTTGGGAAATTTTTATTTTTTTAAATTAATCATATTTTTTCTGCAAAAAAATGGTAATAAAACAGTTTTTGTTGAACTTTTGGTACAAAAACATTTCAAATTTATGATCTCAGTCTAATAACTATTTAGTCAACATGTTTAATTGTAAGGTATTGATAATTTCGATTCTAAATATCTCGAACAACAATTACTCGTAGCGATTTTTACCAAGAGACCTTTTTTGCATAAAAAGCATCGCAAATGTATATTTTTTTACCCAGTAGATATATACAGGTACAGACGAAAAGTTATTACTCTTAAAACTAGTTAAAATATACGTAGATGGCGCCCTCTACTAGTAGAAGTCATATTGACATCAAAATCAAATTTCTCATGTAAAAAAACTCCCAGACACCAATTTTAATCCAAATATTGACGTTACTGCAGAAATTATTTGGAAAAAATCGAAATAAAAATGAAACTTCTACACCCTGTATCTCCGAAACTAAGAATTTTTGGACATACATCTATACGAACATTTTTACTAATTTTTATCTGCAAAATATGCTGCTGAAGTTTCCGGAATACAGTTCGGACCACCCTGTATATGTTACAGTAAAAGTTGGAAATCAGTGATTGCTAACAATTACTAGTAAAAACTCACATTCACTGATTTGCTAAGACTACGCCAGTAAAAGTTCAACAGCTATTTTTGAAACCAACTAGCGAATGATAGCATTCCCTGGTCGATAGCAGTGAGTTTGAAAGATTCAGATATCGCGGTTGTCATATTTTGGACACAGGCAATATAAGGATAACATTAAATCGGGCTAAAAGTTTGCTACGTTGACAGACATCTGGCGGAAATTCGCTTTATTTTTGTGGTTATGTATAATTGTTTTGTTATAATTATAAAAAATGCCATGTGTCCTATAGAAGAAATTTTCTGTCAAAAATTAAGCAAAAGTTAAGCATGCCAGAGAAAAAGTTATTAAGGAACCTAGTGACTATGAACTTATGAAACGTTTTGATGTGCTTGAAGTAGCGGGTTTGAAAAAAAAACCGTTGAAGAAAATTCGGTCATATTTTATTGTGTCCACGATGAAGAACTTTATTAAAAAATCTTGTACCAATAAGTAATCTAATGTTTATGAATGTTTTTTTATTGTTTTGTACACTTTAAAATGTTTACTGTGTTTTCTCTTTTAATATTTAGAAGGTTATGTCGTTATTTTCTATAATTTTTAATAAATATACCTACTAAAGAAGTAAATTGTAATTTTAAGATATGTGGATCAGCTTGAATCTTCAATATTGAAATTTTATTTGTTCTAACTTCCACCAACATTTATCCTCACCACACTCGCTCTGTACAATAGAATAAATTTTATTGGCAACCTTTAGTAGATGTTACTTTCACTAGTAAATGTTAGAAATTACTAGAAAAAGTCGACAAATCTTTTTCAAATACCACATTCACTGGTCCAATGCGTAATTGCTAGCATTTCCTAGTGAATGTTAACAATCACTGAATTTCCGACTTTCACTGTAACATATATTTTTTAAATATTAAATTGCTAATACTTCATAACAAGGAACTTACCCAAGCAGGCTGCTACTAAATAAGCCAATGCCAATACTACGACCTTCATGTTGGAGAAACAATTGAAAGGCTGATTATTTGTCCATTTTTAACCCTTTATATATTAGGTTGTATCAATCGTTATCAAAAGTGCTCTTTGATTAATTTGCCCGTTTTTTAAAGAGGTTTTTCGACGACTTGACTTTATGTAATATCCGCTTGTTCTCAGTAGCGTAGCCACGGAGAATATAGGTGATATATCACCTTTCACGAGTAAGATTATTTCCAAAGGCAGAAGAAGCAAAGGCAAAACAATAATTAATATGTTCTGGAGATGTTGAGAGACGTTTTTTATAAGACTATGATTTGATGAGACTATTAAAAATATTTTTGTTAACAACCAATACTACGCAACGGCGCGGCGCTATTCGTCGGTGAGCATTGGGTCGTACATTGCATAGACAACTTTTAGATTGCCCACTTCCTTGCTTCTAAAAACTATTAGGTCAGTGCAAATAATTTTGAATTTGCAAAATTTTTTAGTAAGCTGCGACCATTGAAAATAGTTAGCATTAGTAACCCTTATTAACATACTAAAAGTCCCCATTTGTCCGGTGTGTGCGTCATCAAAAAAAATCGGCCGCCATCTTGAATTTTGGTACTTTTTGGGAAAAAATGTTAATAACTCGAAAACCGTGCGTTATAGCGAAAAACTCCAAGAGATAAAAATTAAAGAGAATAAAAAACTCTATGTTTCCAGAATAAAATATTTAAGCAATTTATTGAAATATCAAAAGTTAAACGTATAAGGAAAAGAATGAAATAATGTATGTATGAGAAATGAAATTTAAATCAATAAGAACTAACTAAAAGTATGACGTCATAATCCCCCTTACTTAAGCTAAGTACAATATCCTGGGTGGATTACAAATAGCAAACTAAATCCTTACTGTAAGTATTGAAACTACTCGGAAGTTCCTCCGGCTGACATAGGGTGTATAGCTATGGGGTGGCTACAGCAGGGTACAGCAGCTCGGTGTACTGTCACTGGAGCCCACGGATGTCAGCAGAGGTACAGATGCAAGGCAGGTATTTCAAATGATGAACATAAAAACCCTAAATAATATTGGTTGTCTTAGAAAAGAGCCACAATTATAGAATATGGACTAGCACAATGTGTAGAAGTTAATAAAGGTAATAAAGAAGGACTAATTAGATCTGAACTTTACCTCAACGAGGGTTTATGATGTCCAACGGGTACCTCTACACGGGCAATCAGGAAAACTCCAGAATCAATAAAAAATAGTTTATTATCCTAACACAGTGACGTACAAAATGTTTTTGAAAATCGAGCAATTTTTAAAAGGAATCACCGAAATGCAAATTTCTAAATTTTTAAGCTTATTAACAAATAACATGGATATTTAGCATTAATTCAACTAAAATACAATCCTTGTGTCGTTTTCAAGAAATATTTATTGGTGGTTTAATAATATTTCAAAATTAACAAAAATTGTAAAAGCTATTCTTTACTAAATACATGTGTACTAATAATGTACAAAAGCAGCCTCCACCTTGTCCCGGTCGGGGCTATTTGCACTTAAACTAAGGTCTCCTTGTTACCATTTTGTAAACAACTTGTTTTTAAAAATACATACAGTGACAGTTTGAAAAATTAGGCTACAGGTTTGAAGAAAAAATAAAATGTAAAGTACTTGCGAATGTCTTTTTGACATAAATATCATCTACGATCTTAACACTTTTTCATTATGATAAATACATTATAAGCATACCCCTACAAATCGAATAACAAAAATTCAAATTATGACCATTTTAATAAAAATGCGTTACTTGTAAGCTAACTTTTCAACTGTCATCTCTAGAAAAAAAATGAAGTTTACAATTTTATTCGATTTGTTCTTCATCGACCGAGATTTGTTTGTTGTCGCAAGAAATACCATTACAGTTACCACACAAGCTTGAACAGGGCATATTGGATTTTAAACATGTACATAGTTTATTACATCCAGATTTGCAATTACAGTAAATCATTTTCAATACAAATTCTGGTGCCACTGCGTTTGACGTTGTTTTTGGAACTAAGGTATCGGTTTTTTTAGTCCATCCCCATTCTGTTGCCTCTTTTCCGTTATTTAGCCAATACTGCATTTGTAAATGATATATAATAATAATTTTCAGCTGCGTTAGTTGTTGTAGGTAAGGTAGCTAAATCAAAATTTTTACTAAGTACCTGTCGAGATGTAAGGGTTTTATATTTATAATACCTCAACTGATATAAATCTTTTGCTAGCCTATGTCGACCATATAATAAAAATAAGAATGTATTTCCAGCTTCGACTAGCTCAGATTTTTGTACTGCAGGATCTAAAAAAATGGATGTAATTTGTCGCAGATGAGGATCTTTTTGTAACGTTTTGAGAGTCGCCAGTTTACCTTTTTTAAACAAGCATGAGGTTGTATCACATCCTCATATAGCATGTGCAAATAAGAGTGAATGCTTCATGTCACCAATCTTGTTCTGCATATTACCAATGTCAGTTACTCTATGAGGTTTGGACGATTTTCCAGGACGAAGCATAAAAATAGAATTTTTTGTCCGATAATGCAGTAATAAAACTAACAAATCAGTATCTGTAGCCTAATTTTTCAAACTGTCACTGTATTTTTAAAAACAAGTTATTTACAAAATGGTAACAAAAATACCTTGGTTTAAGTGCAAATAGCCCCGATCCGGACAAGGGGGAGGCATCTTTCGCACATTATTAGTACACATGTATCCTTTACTAAATAAAAGGATACACTTTTACAATTTTTGTTAATTTTGAAATATTATTAAACCACCAATAAATATTTCTTGGAAATGTCACAAGGATTGTATTTTAGTTGAATTGATGCTAAATATCCATGTTATTTGTTAATAAGCTTAAAAAATTAGTAATTTGCATTTCGGTGATTCCTTTTAAAAATTGCTCGATTTTCAAAAAATTTTTGTACGTCACTGCGTTATGATAAACTGTTTTTATTGATTCTGGTAGAGTTTTTTATTCTCTTTAATTTTTACCTCTTAAAGTTTTTCGCTATAACGCACCGTTTTCGAGTTATTTACATTTTTCCCCAAAAAGTACAAAAATTCAAGATGGCGGCCGATTTTTTTTGATGACGCACACACCGGACAAATGGGGACTTTTAGTATGTTAATAAGGGATATTAATGCTAACTATTTTCAATAGTCGCAGCTTTCTAAAAATTTTTGCAATTTCAACATGGTAAATGTCATAACTGCACTGGGGTATATGTAAACTATTAAATATAGGGAAATTAAAACAACTTTGTGTGCACGTCATCATGACACCATGCGTCGTCGTCTTATGGAGTTTGCTGGTGGTCGTATTATGATGTACAACCAAAGTTATTTTAATTTCCCTATACCGGGTGTTGCATCGTCGGACGGGACATAGGAAATCCCATGTAAATTTTAATGGGGTAAATTATTGGCTACCCTAATTATTTTAGAGAATAATTCTATTTAGGTTTATTGAAGAGCACTAAAACCCACATTCAAAAGAATAACTTTAGATATTTTTGATTAGCTCGTTTACGAGTTATCGCCGATTTCTTTTTAAATATTTCTCCTTTCTTATGGCCCTTATGGCCCTTGTAACAAATTGCTCGCTATTTTATGGCAAATGCTGAAGCTCTGCAAACCTTAATCAAGAATGATTTGAAAAACAAAGCTTCTTCGTCTAGCAATATCTCTACCCAACCTGAGAACCTTAACGATTACTTTGTAAATGTAGCGAAAAACTTATCTAATACCATATGTCCTCATGATTCACTTTCATATCTTTCTAATGATAATGTAAACTTACACAGTTTCTTTGTTTCGCCCGTAGTTTTAGAAGAGCTTTGCAGTACAATTAATACCATCAAAAATAAATCCTCATCTGGGACCGACGGGCTAACTTTAAAAATGTTTTCGAATCTGCCAGAAAGAACTCTGAATCATCTAATTACTATAATAAACATGTCATTCCAAAATGGTATTTTTCCAAAATGTCTTAAGACGGCAATAATCATTCTTCTGGATAAAGGAGGAGACAAAGATGAAGCTTCTAACTATCGCCCAATTGCACTCCTTCCAACGCTATCTAAGATCATAGAAAGGTTGGTTAAAAGAAGGCTGGTATTTTTTCTGTTTAAGTACAAAATACTTACTGAACATCAATTTGGATTTCTAAGCAACAAGTCCACAAATGACGCTATGTTTTCCCTCCTTAATAAAGTTTACTCCAGCCTAAATAAGCATCATTCTACAGCAACAATTTTCTGTGATTTTTCTAAGGCGTTTGACTGTGTAAATCATAAGACCATAATTAATAAACTGCAGCACTATGGGATCAGGGGAACATCTCTCGAATGGTTTAAGTCGTGTCTGAGCAACAGCAGTTAACTTGTGACGGTGGATACCACGTTGTCTTCTAGCAAGCCAATAGAATGTGGAGTACCACAGGGCTCAGTACTAGGCCCTATTTTGTTTCTTCTTTTTATTAACGACATTGCTAACATAAACATCAGTGGCAAAATATGTTTTGTTGCCGACGACACTAGCTTCACTTGGAGCAACAAGGACGTCACGGCCCTTCATAGGATTATATCAAATGACTTAATCACCATTAAATCTTGGTGCGATTCGAACCTCCTGAGTCTCAACATTTCGGAAAGTAAAGCTTTGTCGTATAAAAACTCGCTGCAGCCTTTTGTACTTAACAACACTACAATTGACGTCGTAAAATCTGTAAAATTCTTAGGACTTGTTGTAGACAATTCTCTAAAATGGGACATGCATATCGAAGCTTTGTCGAAAAAATTGAGCTCTGCCTGTTTTGCATTAAGATCTGTTTCTAAGGAGCTTAACTTGTCAGTGGCTAGAACTGTTTATTATGCACTTTTTGAGTCGCACCTCAGGTATGCCCTTCCATTCTGGGGTACGTGTTGTGCGACTCAATTTGTCCGCATTTTCAAGCTCCAGAAGAGAGCTGTTCGATATTCACTGGGACTAAACAGCAGAACTCATTGCCAGAACTTTTTTAAAAAATTCAAAATATTAACTCTTCCTTCCTTATT